AAACTAGGTGGATAGAACAGACTGATCTTGTGGGTGATTTGAACTGAAAACAGGATTAATTAGCAAACAAGGAAGGCGATTGAGCAGAAGTAGCTAAACAGTTAGAAACAGGATACAACATCACTTGGCTCTGATACCATCAAGCGGAAGAGCAGCAGTACATACAGAGATGGATTAGTTGGGAAGCAGTATATATATATATATATATATTGATGGTATCAGAGCCAAGTGATGTTGTATCCTGTTTCTAACTGTTTAGCTACTTCTGCTTAATCGCCTTCCTTGTTTGCTTAATTAATCCTGTTTTCAGTTCATCTTAATCACCCACAAGATCAGTCTGTTCTATCCACCTAGTTTAAGTCACCCACTTCTTCCAGTCTTCAGTAAGTCCTTCGTTTTAGGCAGAGTCAGACTTTGGGATTTAAAGATAGGGTATGTATGTACACTAGGTATGTGGTAAATGACAAGAATAGGGATTGTAATTAAGATATCTGTAAAACTGGTAATTAATACAGAACAATGAATCGATTATTTAGAAGTAACTCATCAGTCAGTTCTAGGTCAACTGCTTGCCTTCCATACCTAATCCAGGCATCATAATTAATGAAAGAAGATGTTGAAATACAAAATGATCAAATTAATTCTGGATGGAATATTCCAAAACTACCTATTAAAGAGATTTATAAAACTTCTTTTATACAGGATGTTTTTAAAGTTACTCTCCATGTTAAAACTATTGAACAAGTTTATGCTTTAGAAAAACCAAGAGAAACCTGTCAGTTATTTGATAAAAAATTAATCAAACGACATTTAGATCGCGGTTACAATTTTATACATATTGGTTTAATACAAATTGGTGTCAATCCATTAACAATGATAGGACAAAATACTTCTGTTTTACTCTGTTAAGAGATGCTCGTTTTCTTAATTACAATGCTAGTTTAATGGGAATGATGGAAACTGGTCTTAATAAAGGTCCCGTACATTTTAATTGTTTCCTGATTTTACACTAAGTTTAAGAGATCCACATATTCTCAAAGCATTAACACTGAACATTCAATTACATGGTGAATATACTGAAATGTTAGATTCTTCTCATAATATTGCTTTAATTTATCGTGTTCATTATAAATGTATGCAAACTAATTTAAATGTTCATGCCTCACATAAAAGTCCTAAAGATAAAACTTTATTAATCCAAAGCAGTAGTACTAATGAATCAAACATTAATATTCCTCACATGATTGAATGGAAAGATATTAATTTACCGGATCAATGGGTCACTGTCAATGAAAATTACAAACATAATCAACAACAATCTTCAATCCAAGACATTCAACATATCCAGCAAAACAATGATGGATCCGTTAATATTAAATTCAATCGAAGTCAATCTTCTAGACATAGTACATCTAGTATCCCTTCTGAAATATCAACTGAGGATGAAATATTTAACACTCCTCTATTTAGGAAAAACAGTCAAATCCATCTTGGTCCAACTAATCCAACTTCAACAATAAATTAAAAGGAATTGATAATTCTACCACTTCCAAATTAGTAAACCTGTTTATACTACTACCTCACATTTCCCTGAAGAAGAAATAGCTTCAAATAATTCCCCAACTCAAACTGATTTCGAAGGATTAATACCACCTGTCAATCCCCAGTTAATGACAATCAAAAAAGATTTTACTCCTGATTTAAATAAATTACTTATTGAATTCCGATCCAAAGAAAATAAAACTAAACGACAAGCTTACAGTGCTAAATATAATTCTGTCCAACAATCCAGAATCACTAGAGAATGTATAATTTTATGGTTCAATATAGTTTTGAATTATCTTTCTTTGATTATATGGATCAATATTACAAAAAGGTTAATACAATCACCAAACATAATGGAAAACTTCTCCAAATACTTCTGTTAGTTCTAATCATCCTCCATTAGAAAATATAATTATTGAACACCAAGGTTCTGAAGTTCCAGCCTCTCCTTTTAAACTACCAGGTACTGATCCTGAAATCAAAAAAGTTATTGAACAAAACAATTATACTAATCAATGTCTCAAAACAATTGGTAAACAATTAGATAAATTGGAAACTAATTTCGATGACCAATCTGCCAAATCAGCTAAAACTTTAGATCCACCATTACTTAATCTGCCTAGTCATCGTTCTAAACGAAATAGTCTAGTTACTACTGACCAATCTACTGTCAAAGCTATTGAACAATTATTTACCAAATTAACTCCTAATGATACTTCTACATCTAAAGATAAAGGTCTTACTGTTTTAAATCAACAACCTATTACTAATACTATATCTGATCAATCTGAAACTGACACTACTGATAATGAACTAAATCAATTAGCTCAACAATTTCAACCTACTACTCTTAATAAATTCACTATCCAAAGTTAATCCTCAAACTACCAAAAACTGGTACTCTAAACCTACTCCTGTCGACCTCCAATTTGAAGACACAAATATTAGTAATCAATTTTCTTGTTTCTGCTAAAAGATTATACGAATGGAATATTGATGGTCTCAGTGAAGATCAAATCCTTCAAAAATTAAATCATTTATCTATGGTCGCCAATAGTTATCTCAGTAATTATCCCCAATACACTCAATCTGAAATTGTTTCCTTACTTACCTCTGGTTTTACTGGTATGCTTAAATCTTGGTGGGAAAAATACCTCATGAAACAGACCGTGACTCTGTTTATTTATGCCAATCAAACTGATGAAAATGGACTCCCTCTTTTTGATGAATCTATTGGATGTTGTCACCCTGATGGAATTAATCAATTAATCTATACGATAGTTCGACATTTTATTGGTACCCCAACAAATATTTATTCTCGGATCCATGATCAATTAAGTAATCTTAACTGTCCAACCTTAAGTGATTTTAGATGGTATAAAGATGTATTTACCTCTCGTGTCATGTTACGCGAAGACTGTACTAAATCATTTTGGAAAGAAAAATTTATTAATGGATTACCTAGCTTATTTGCCCATAAAATTAGAGATGTTCTTAGTCAACCCATATATATATATATATATATATATATATTATTTCTTTGTTCATGAAATAATTTTAATCTATTATGGCAAATCTCGGTTTTTGACTTCACCGTTTGTCTTCCACCTTCATTGTATTAAGATATCTAAAAAATTAGAGATTAATTAATAAAAAATGAAATCATATTTCAACGCAAGGCATGCAAATTATTATTTTTTAATCAAAGAAGAATGCGCCAAGTTTTTTCGTATAAGATTTTAATAAGGAGCTAATGTTATAAATAAATAAATTTCACACTTTTTTTTAAAAAATATACAAAGATAGTATTATATAAATAAATACATATAAACTTCATTGCATTGTGTTTAATAATAAAAAAAAATTGAATATTTTATTGTAATGTCTGTTTTGAATGGTAAAACCAGGGATATAAAGGCCTTGTTTGGTAAAACTTATAAGCAGCTTATTTCAGTTTTTAATTTAATTTAAGATAAAAACATGTGTTTAGCTTAGCTTATTTCACCAATTTATAGCTTAAATAAAGCTAATTTTCAACTTATTTTGCAAGTGGGTCTAGGGATGCTTAAGTTTATAGCTTAAGCGCGCAGCTGTATAGTGGGTGCTAAAATGACTTAAATGTCCCTCCTAATCTCCATTATTTACGAAAATGCCACTATATATACCCGTCTGATTGCCCTAACTCTCGCCTCTCACACTCTTCTCTCCTATTCTCCTCTCCTCTAGCGACTGAGAAGAAGCTCGACCAACACCCACGAAAACAGTGGTCGACCTCTTTGATCATAGCAGATCGAGCTTGTAGAGCCGTCGTCTACCTCTCCAGGAAGAGTCGTCCCTCTGTTTTTTCGTTCATCTACACTGAAAAGATAAGATTTCATGACTATGATACATGTATGGACTCAATTAGGGTTTTGCTCTTCGTTATGTGAAATGGTGTCTTCTCTCTCTTCTTCACTCTGTGATTAGGGTTGAAAACCCCTTTTTGACTACGATCTGTTATTAGTTGAGGTGCTTTGACTGTGATCTCTCTCAATATTCTGTTTGTGCGTTGAAGAGGATTTAGTGAATGAACATGTTGATATTCATCAATTTGTTTGAATTCTGTTTCCAGATTCTTGTTATGATATAAGTTATGAATTAATCAGGTTGAATAAGATGTTCGATTTTTCAAATGCCTGGCAATTTGAATCATTTGGTCTTTTCATTGAGACATTGAGTGCCCTAATATTAATTTTTTGATATTTTCTCTTGAGCATAAAATAGCTCTTAATTTGTGGAATTAGTTTTGTAATTTTAATGATTTATGTAACCTGATAGCACACAAATGAATGGAAAATGTAAGCAAAAAAGTTACCTGTTGGTTCATGGACTTGGAAGATGATTTCTCTACTCATTCTTTTTAAATGAATTTCAGCTTATTGAATAATTTTACCTTTCCACATTATAATCACGCTTCTGTGCATATCTAAATACATAGAATAACTTTAAATTGTTGAGCCATTTTGATTGTTAACTTCGAGCAGTGTTCTTGGTGAAACTGTGAATAAGCAGGATCTATTCTATCCAAAACAAGCATGATCTAATAATTATTTTATATGTAATAATTACTTTTTGTAGAGCATGAAACATGTGAGTTATGCACTTCTGTTTTTTTTTTTTCATATGAAAATGAGACAAGAAGTTAAGAGTTGCTAGCAAAATCATGTCTACAAAAACATGTGTTGTTAATTATAAGAAAATATTAGTATATATTAGTATAGCCAACACATGTGTTGTTAATTAACAAAAGGGAATGTTATGTTCTGTTCTACAAAAACAAAATATTAGTATATAACAAACATAAAATAAAAGAAAAAAGGTTAATGCTAAACTCTTATTCTAGATTGTGTTAAACTCTTTTGTTTTGTAAAACTAATTGAGTAATATTTTTTAGCAATTTTTTTTTTTTTTTTTCTTATGAATTTTTGAAAAAGAAAAAGTTATCTATAAAAACTGACAAGTTAAAAAATTACTAAAAATTGAAAAAAGAGTAAATAATAGTTGATTTCAATTAATAGTTGAATGAAAATGAGTTTTTTTTTGGAGGTTCTCCTCTTTTTCCTAAGGAGAATAGGGAAGAAAAAGTTTTGTAGAGCACATTGGTAAACCTTGAAAAACCAATTGAAAATCTTGTATGGTTGAATTGAATCTTTTAACTTTATTAGTTCATAAATCTTTTGACTTTATTAGTTAATGTTCCTAATTAATGGAGAGGCATGTCATCCTCTAGTAACTATTATTCTAGTGGTGAGAGCTTCAACTTGAGGTATGAGCCTTTGAAATGTGATTGTGGGCTAAGAGCTGCTATAAGGGTTACCGAGTCTGACAAGCCATCTAAAGGGAGACTGTATTTCATTTGTGAGAAGAGAAATTGTCAATTTTGGAGGTGGTGTACCCCAAAATCTATTACGATGGTAGAGAGGCTGAGGAACAAGAGAATGATTGATCAAAATCAACATATGGAGACTGTAGGACTAAAAGTGAAGAACCAAATGCTTGAGCAATCCAATGCTTTCATGAAGCAACTTGTTGTGGGTCTGGTCACGATTTGTATTGTTATGTCAGTTACATTACTCTTTAAATGATGATAGGTGCCGTTTAGAGATACCCGATGTTTTTGTGCTAAGTAGTTTACCATGAACTATTGTACCCAATGAAAGTTGACATAATTGCCATGTATGGTTATTTTGTACTAATCTAGTTATTATAATGCAAGCACTGATGAATGAGTTTGTTTTAAATTTTTTTTTCTTTCATAGAATGAGTACCCAAGAGGAAACACAACCTGAAAATAGGAAGAACAAGGGAAAATCAAGTCAAGTACCATCTGTTAAAGCTCATTGGGATGCAAAATCAAATGAAATTTTTATTAAGATTTGTGTTGAGCAAGTGAAGGTTGGACATAGACCTGGTACACACTTAGATAAGGTCAGGTGGGAAAATGTGATAACTAAGTTTAAAAGTATGACTGGAAAAGCATACCAACGAACACAAATGAAAAATCATTGGGATGTGTTGAAAAAAGATTGGCTTTTATGGAATAATCTATTAAGGGGTAAGACAGGTTTTGGCCATGATCCATTGACTGGAGCTATATCTGCATATGATGAGTGGTGGACTTTGAAATTGGAGGTACGTGAATTGCTTAATGTACATATTTTGTTTGTTTTTAGTTTAAATACACCAAATTTTGTTACTTGAAATTGTTACTTTTTCCTTTGTAATTGTTGCAGAGGTATCCTGATGCTGCTAAATTCCGGCGTATGTCGTTGCAATTCGCTAAAGACTTAGACATACTATTCTCAGATGCAGCTGCTACAGGAGAATGGGCATACACTCCTAGCTCAGGGGTAATGCCTCAGGCTGATGAGATGTCGGAGGAATTTCATACCCCACATGATGCTGAATTTCATGATGATGTTGATTTGGTGGTGGTTCGTCCTTCCGAGTTAAACAAAAAATGGTCATCAAACACTGATGGTTCATCAACCAAGAGCAAGACAAAGAAGAAATTTACTGGTGCAGCTCTACTGAACAAGACACTTGATCGTATAGTCAATGTGGTTGAATCATCTTCAGCAACTTCAACACAAACCTCATCAAGATATCCTTCAATTGTAGAATGTTTGGCGTAGTTGAAAAGCATCCCTGGTGTGTCCCCGGATGATGAGTTGTATGTATGGGCTACCAGATTGTTTTTACGAGACAAGCGTCGTGAGTGCTTTATGAGTCTTCCAACAGATGAAGTTCGGTTGAGGTTTCTAAAGTTGGAGATTGAGATAGAAAAGACCACCATAGGTTATCGCGGCTAATTGTTTTTGAGATGGACTGTTGTGTTGAACTCATTATTTTTTTTTTTTTATTAATATTTTTGTTGGACTTTGATGGATATTATTGACTATGTTGGACTTTTATTATTAATATTTGACTATGTTGGACTTTGATTAATATTGAAAAATGTTGGACTTTTATTATTAATATATGGGTAGGTGTCATTTTCATAGTTGAATGGTAGGTGAATGGTTGACTGGTTGAATGTTAGTTCAATAGTTGAAATGTTAGTTGAATAGTTGAATGGTTGGTTTGAATTTTGAATATGAATGGTAGGTGAATGGTAAAGATTTTTATATATATGTAGATATTTTCCAGGTGGTGTTATTATGGTGTTTTCAGCTGAGCTAAATTTGGAGGTCATTCTAGTTTGAATTTCAATCTTTTACTACTGTATTGCTATGTTCATTGAAGGTAAAATTTCAGGAAGTTCAATTTGCTTGCTATTTGAAATGATCATTTGTATTACATAAAAGATGGTTTTGACTTTTTTCTGAACCAGTCTTTCAATTAGCTTTTCCTTCTTGTGAACCAGTCTTTCTAATTCACTTTTGTAGCTATGTTATGTATTTTAGTACATGTGGTACTGTGGAAGTGGAAAGTATTACATATTACATATTTTAGTACATGTGGCCTACTTCATTAAGGGATGGAATGGCTTTGTGCACAGGTCTGTCTGCAATTTTCCATATGTGCTTGGTACTGAGCAACTTTTTAGTTGGTTAAACACATTTTTAATATCTCAAACATGTGTTTAGGCTTAGTTCTCCACTTATGTGGTACTCTGACTTTTTCCAGGGAGGTAGACCAAGGGTTTATTTTCCTTCTTTTTTTTTTTTTTGGAATGGGGGGGGGATCGAAGATGGATTTGGATGGATGATGGTGGTGATGAAGGTGGTATCTAAGAATGGGGGGGAGAGAGAGAGAGAGAAAAATTATACTCATATAAGATTTGTTAAAAATAAATCGAGTAGTTGGCATTATTTGCAATCTGAATTATTTGTGAAAATTTGAGGGTTTTTTTAGCTGTCACGTATTCATGCTATCAATAACCGAGCTAGATATGTTGTCTTGCAAGGGATTTCCTTTTTGATTGATTCTATAGATGGGATCAAAACAATTTTTGAATAAGGTTACTTGATTTTTTTTTTTTAAATGATGATAGAGAATTGATATACATTCTAACATGATTGTATACTTTTTATATTTATCTAGGGAATTGCTTTGTAATTTATGCTTTGATATCATTAATTTTAAAAACAAAATGCTAAAATTACCCTTCCATCCCTTAAATGTAATTAATTAACCCAGATTTACCCTAAGAAAATTAAACAAGGTCTGTTTGGTTGTGTGAAGTGGCCTACTTCATTAATAGCTCTATTTTGTATTAATAACTTTGAAATCTGTAAGTGTAGATGAATATAATAGTAACTAAGCCTTTAAATGGGTAGGTATTTTGGAGATGAGTAACAGTGATAAAGAATGGAATGATGATCACCATGATGAAAATACTGAAGATGAAGGCAGCACATTGGAAACCCAACAACATAATAACATACTTTTAGCTACGGTGGCAACAGTTGCAGTGACATATGCGACAAATTATTTGATGAAAGAACCATGTAGGACATCTAGTTTAACAGGAGGGAAGTGGATGGAAGAATTACAAGAAGGGAATCAGACAAGAATATTTGAAAATTTTCGAATGGAAAGAGAGGTATTTTATCAATTGTGTGATTTGTTACATACAAAGTATGGCCTTGAAACTGGACAAAGAGTCTCGGTTCAGGAGCAGGTTGCAATATTTTTGTATATCGTTGGCGGTGACACTCGAAACATAAATACCCAAGAAAGATTTCAACATTCCAGCGAGACTATTTCAAAATACTTCAAGAATGTGTTAAAAGCTATTACAATGATGTTTATTGATTGGGTAAGGCCTCAACCAAGAAATGGTGTGCATCCATATATTCGAAGGAAGCGCAAATATTATCCTCATTTCAAGGTAAAAAAATAATTACAAGTGGAACTTCGGTGTTACATATAATAATGTTGATCAGATATTTCTAATAATCTGTGACTAAAAATAATTTTATGAACTATTTTGTAGTAGGATTGTATTGGAGCAATTGATGGAACACACATCAAAGCATATTTATCTCCAGATAAGCAATCTCGTTTAATAGGTAAAAAGGGGTATGCAACTCAAAACATAATGGCCGCATGTGACTTTGATATGTGTTTCACCTTTTGTTTATCAGGATGGGAAGGAAGTGCACACAATACTCGGATCTTCTTGGATACAATTAGGAATCCTAGTTATAATTTTCCAAAACCACAATGAGGTAACTGTTTTATATTTCATTGCTACAGTAGATGCACCACACTTACATCTCCACATTTATTTTTACATTTATAATTGCTTACTTTAATTTCATTTTGCAATTTTAAAATAGATGAATTTTACTTGGTGGATGCTGGGTATCCAAACATGAAAGGATATCTTGCACCTTACAAAGGAGAGAGATATCATCTAGCTCAATTTGAACATGGTCAACCCCCTCAAAATGCACAAGAAAAATTCAACCAAGCACATTCATCACTTAGAAGTGTAATAGAAAGAACGTTTGAGGTTTGGAAAGCAAGATGGTCGATGATAAAGGATATCCCACCAAACTACAGTTGGGCGACCCAAGTCAAACTTATTTGTGCAACAATGACAATTCATAATTTCATCTGACGAAGTGAGTTCCGCACTATTGCATTTGACTCTTATGATAGATTCGTGGATTATGTGCCTAATGAAGAGGAATGATCTTCGTCTCAACAAGCACGCCATGGAATGATGTTGACTGTGATGACAACGAGATGGAAGTGAGGAGACATAATATTTGTATGTCAATTTGCCGACGAAATTAGGAGATCTTTAAATCTGTAGGAAGTTTTATTTTTATTGCTTTAATAGTAATTTATTGTATTTTTATTGCAATAACATTTTTTTGTTTCCGTCTCAACTCAATATTATTACAAAAAAAATTTAAAAAATTAAAAAATAAATTTGAGGTAATGAAATGTACCAAATTAGGTACTAATTAATCAACTTCCATTAATGAAATAACTTTTTCAAAATTTAATGAGAAGAAAATGACAAAATTACAAATTTTCTGTTCATAAAGGCAAAAATGACAATTACACAGCAAAAAGCTATTTTACAGCTTATTTACTAAATACTATTCTGCTGCTTAAATCTATAATCCCGCAGCTACACTAAACAGGTTACCAACTTATACTCACAGCTATAAGTTATAATCTGTTAAGGTATAATCTATAATCACTTTCTCACAGTTTTACCAAACGGAGCCAAAGTGATTCCTGCAAGAAGTAGCAAAGGCACTCAATTTTCATTAGTGTCGTTGATAATCTTGATGTAGTTTCCATTTTTAACATAGTAATTAAAAAACCAATAATTATCAAACTTCACACTTAAAAAAAAAAAAAGAAAAAACAATATTAGGATTGTTTGCAAAGTTGTTTGCTATTTCTTGCATTGTAAAGTTTCATGATTTTTAAAAAAAAAAAAAAAAATTAAAAAAAAAAAACAAAGAGAAACTAGAAGCATTCATTTTCAATTCATAATATTAATTTTTTTAGTCTAATTTAATTATTTTTACTCATATAAAAGTAGTACTAAAAACTTGAACTAGATTTAACTAAATGTATTCAGAATACAAGGAAAAGATAAAACAAGTAAAAAATAATAACACGTTTTAGTAATTTCAAAACATTTTATTGACCTTAATTTTTTTTTTGCTATTTTTAAAATAATTTTTACACAAATTTTAATGTTAAAATAATTCTCCTAAGCATTGTTACCATTTTTTTCCTCTCGCAACTGCAGATTATCTCTCCATCCCCTATCAACAAAAGTCCCAAATTTTAAATTTTTTCTTTTATAGCCCTCCTTGTCTTATGATATGATAACTAGGAATCGAGTATGTCTCGTGCCTTTCTTAATTTCAATTAATCTAAGTTTCTTTTCTACAACCAAAATAAAAATATATCTGAAATTGTATAATGATTTTAGAGCGATCAAGTATGCCTCGTATCTTTCTTAATTTCAGTTAATCTAAATTCCTTTTCCACAATCAAAAATAATAATATCAAAATGCTGTAATTCTAGACTCTTAACAATATCCTATGTACCAAAAAAGTAAACCTTTTTTTTTTTGTATTATTGGCTATAACCCATCTAATCTTCTTGGAGGTAGGTGACAGAGCTAGCTGTATAAATATGATATGAGTTGCCAATAATTTATCCGAATAGTATTCATGAAAAGTCTTCGATCTTCTGTTGTTCAGAGAGGAAAAATAGGAGTGTAATATAAGAAATGTCAAAGATTTTTGTCTTCTCTTAACAAAATCATCACTATAGAAAAGGCTTATAGAGAAACTATAAAAACACTACGAATTGATGATTAATTGCCCGAAATTTGTGTAAACCGAATAGTTTCATTATCATTTGTAGTTCTTTCTAGTGTTGCACTTCATTAATCTAATGAATACACATAGTTTGTGATATTTATAACTTACACTATGATGGTGAGTTTAACGTGACTTTACCCTAAAGAGGTTACTTCGATCAACACACAAAAGAAAAAAATTATTGCCAAGTCGCACTTTATTTAAAATCTTGTGAGATAGTTACACCATCTCCAAATTCTGTTAAACTCTCACTTTTTTTTTGACAATAGATAAGAGAGGAAAAGATGGGGGAAAATTGCATCACCCAAATGTGATACTAAAACTCGATATTCATACATGATTAGAATTGCATTCTTCCACCATTTCAAATGGGGAGATTATTATATAAATTTCTTTTTCAGACATTTATAATAGGCAAATCCTTAGTGAATTTTCTTATAGAGTCTCAAGTCCTATTTAAGAATAGAATATATTCCACAAGACCTATATAAACGTAACGTGACACCACATAAACGTTAACGTGACAACTTTAACGTATCATGACACCATACATAAACATAACGTGACACCTCAATGTTACGTTTCGCAAAACGTAATGAGTTTTATCTTTTTAAAATTGAATTGTGAAAATATTATGTTTATTTCGGTGTCACTGTTAGTTTATATA